TGTAGAATCACAAAGACTCCAAATGGTCAAAGCAATCCTGAGCAAAAAGAACAAAGCTCGAGGCATCACATTACTTGACTTCAAAATATAGTACAAGGCTATGCTGCCAAAACAGCATGATATCGGGAGAAAAACAGACACATAGACTAATGAAACAGAATAGCACAGAAATAAATCCACACATTTACAATCCATTGATTTTCAACAAAGGCATCAAGAACACACAATGCGGAAATGACAGTCTCTTCAATAAATGACACTGGGAAAACTGGATAGCCACAAACAGTTCATGACGTCAGACCCTATCTCTTACATTTACAAAAAGGCAACTCAAAATAAATTAAATACTTAAATGTAAGACCCAAAACTATGAAACTACTAGGAGAAAACATAGGGGGAAAGCTCTATGTCGTTGGTCTGGACAATGACTTTTTGGATATGACCTCACAAGCACAGGCAACGAAAGCAGAAATAGACAAATGGAATTACATTAAACTAAAAATCATCTGCACAGCAAAGGAAACAATCAATAGAAAGAAGAGACAACCTACAAAATAAGAGAAAATATTTGCATACTATACATTCAAAAGGGATTAATATCCAAAATACATGAGGAACCTAAACAACTCAATATCAAGTAAACAAATAACCCAATTTAAAAAAGAGCAAAGGACCTGAAAAGACATTTCTCAAGCGAAGACATACAGATGGCTGACAGGCATATGAAAATTTTCAATATCACTAATTCCCAGGGAAATGCAAATTAAAACAACAATGAGATGCTACCTCACACCATTAGAATTGGCTATTATAAAAAAGATGAAAGACATCAAGTGTTGGCAAGGATGTGGAGAAAAGGAAAATTTGCACACTGATGGTGAGAATGTAAATTAACACAGCCATTATGGAAAATAGCGTGGAAGTTCCTCAAAACATTACAAGTAAAACTACGTATGACCCAGTGATCCCACTATTGGGTATATACCCAAAGCAAATGAAATTAGTGTGTCAAAGAGATAGCTGCACTCCAATGTTTATTGCCACACTATTCATAATAGCCAAGATATGAAATCATCCTGTCTAACAGTGGATGAATAGATAAAGAAAATATAGCATATCTACACAATGGAATACTATTCAGCCACAAAAGAAGGACATCCTGTCATTTGCGACAGCATGGATGAAACTGGAGAACTTTATGTTAAGTAAAATAAGCCAGGCACAAAAAGACAAATATGACATGGTCTTACTTTTATGTGGAATATTTAAAAAGTTGGTATCATAAAAGTGGATTTAACTGATCAGCATTTAAGTGCACATATAGTAATAACATTCATCGGGTGTTGGGCAGATGGGGGGGGTAGGAGGGCATGGTCATATACACGACTAATGGGTGCGGTGCGCACCGTCTGGGGATTGACATGGTTGAAGCTCTGACTCGGGTGGGGCAAGGGCAATATACATAACCTAAACATTTGTACCCCCATAATATGATGAAATAAAAAAAAATAAAAGTGGAGAGTCAAATTATGGTTACTAGGTGCAGGGATAGTTGGGAGGGTTGGGGAGTTGTTGGTCAAAAGATAGGAGGAATAAGTTCAGGAGATCTATTGTACATAGTGACTATAATTAATAATGATATATTGTATTCTTAAAAATGCTGAGTGAATGTAAAGTGTTCTCACCGTAAAAATGATGACTATGTGAGGTGATGCATATGCTAACTAGATTAGCTAGATTTAGTCATTCCACAATGTATACATACTTCAAAACATCATGTTGTATACAATAAATATAATTTTATCTGTCAAATTCTAAACAATAAAAATAATATAGAGCCATCATAAGGGAGTAGCTCTGTTTTCTTCCTTTTGTAGACCTTCAGATATGGTTTCCTTCAGACATGGAAAATGGGGCAATTTCTACAAATTCTGGGAACGCAGCTATCAGGGACAATGCAGATATTCTTCCTTAGTCAGCTGCAAATATAATCCCATGGGACTCATATGCAAAAAATATGAAATGCACGTACATGTTTGGAGGAAGCTCCATGGATGAGACATAAATTTAAACTGCATATTGAAAGATGAACAAGTTTTGCAAATATGTTATAAATCCAGGAATTCAACTTGAGAAGATGGATACTACTTGGAAGCAAACATCTAGCCCAGAGTTAAAGAGCACAGGGAAGGTCTGGAAAAGGGTGTACTCCAGTGCTTTCCAAACTTTAACCTAGATAAGAATCACCTGGAAAACTTGAAAATGCTGATTGATTCAGTGTGTCTGGGGAGGAGCCCGATATCCTGAATTTCTCACAAGCTTCCCGATCATGTTGATGCTGCTGGTCATGGACCACACGGTGGGGTGGGAAGCGGGGAGAAGTACAAATGAACAATCTGAGTGTTAATTCTGGGATGGTGAAGCAAGATTTGAACAGCAGAACAGGTGAGCAGCATTTTTCCTACCATAGATTTTACTCAAATGCTGACAAAAGCCAAGGAGGCAAGAGAATGCGTGAAGTGGTGTGGTGGTACTGGGTACAACTGGAAAGTATAAGTTGCTCTCTAAAGGAGAGTCTGGAGAATTGTTGCCATGGAAGAATGTGATCCTGATGTTACCAAATCTCTAGGTTTTTTAAGAGAAGCCAGAAATTCATACTTTATTTTTATATTAAATATGCTGATTTTTAAATCCTGACTCAAATTACACACACACACACACACACACAAACAAACACACACACACCATTGTGAGACAAAGAAATAGAATTTTCTTGCTAGACTTGGCCATCAGCTTATTACTACTTCATCCAAATAATCAAACAAGGTCAAAGGGTTCCAAATATGGGCACAGGCAGGTAGAAACTAACACATAAGGGTATCCAGAGGCTTACTGGTATACCAGCCAACTGAATGTTATGAATTAGAGTTCAGATAAAAGGTACATGATGAGGATCAAAGATCAGAACTCAAATGTCAAGAAGATGTGTAAACAAGACTCTGGATATAGAGAGCTAATGTCAGGAAGTTTTGGGGTAAGACTTATTACAGTTAAAGGTGACTTTGAATGCAAAATGGGGATTTTAAATTGTTTTTAATAAAACATTGAAAGTCACTGATTTTTGATTGTTTTAAGTCAGAGTTGGGCTACTTAAAATATAAAAGTAGTCCAGGAAAGCAAAAAATTTAATACTTCAAATTTTGCCCTTTATTCTGTCACCAAAATTGCCCCATCTAAGCAGACTGTGACTCTCTAGCCCAAATAGACCCATGTTAACATGAATTTTCAACACTTATGGCAGGGGTTATATGTGGTGAATAGAATTGGCCGGAATCACATATTTTATTTATTTTTCTGATGTTTTATTTGAACTTTGTAGATTGGTGCTCCAGATAGTCTTCAGGGTGGCTAGACTTTTAATCTAGCTTTATGCAAAGGAATGACAAAAGGAAAATGGATTCTGGGAAAACGATCTGGTTTTGGAACAGCCTCACTTGTGGTGGAGGAGTCGGGTAGAGGAAGAAGGACAGATTTGAGAGTTAAAATGACAGGGGTCTAGTTAGGACCAAGAGATTGGCTGGTAGTAACTAGAGAGCAAGATAACAAAGGGTACATTTTGTCTTTGAAACCTAGGTTCTTACAAGTATGATAAAAAACATAAAGTCATAAGGAGGAACTTTTGGGTTATCCATGTGTTCTCATTAAGACAAAAAAACAACACTTCCTCTACACTGGCATTTTAAATTAAGCTAGTATTCACAACTTTTCTCCCTAGAACAGTTTTGGAAGATTCAGTCAAGGCTTAACTATGTTTTTCTGCTTTATTGTTTGTCAAGATTGTAGAGGTAGACTCTGTATAAAACTGTCAACATCAAAACACCTTTATTCTTTCTCCTTTAAAAAGATAACACAATAAAGATATGACATCATCCTGGCTTATTAGGCATTTCTTGGAAACCCACTCAAAGTGTAGGGATGCCAGGAGACACCAAGCCCAGAGGACTCACCCTGAGGTAGATGAATCAGAGGGCAGCAGAGCTAGACATTGTATAGACCTTAAATATAAGATCTCATTAAACCCAAATGACGTTTTGGTAAATTTTTCAAATGCAACTCAGAAATTTCAGAGAGTAGGCAATGTGAGAGCAAAACAAAGCCATATAAGGACTGCTAACCTTTACTGATCACTTAGTATATTCCAGATGAATTCATATCAAAATTATCCATATAATTCAAATATAATGATAAATTTCAACCACTTCTTAGCAATGTCCTAAAATAGAAACCTACAGGTTTATACTAAGCAGAGCAAAAGATTCTATTGAGTCACGTTCCTGTTGAATCACCTCGTGTCTCCCCAGTGACTCAGCTGTCTTTCTCAAAAGGCAAAGCAAGAAGCTCTTCACCTCCAGATCCATGTCACTTAGGAGCTGGATTATTCAGCCTCACCCAAAACACTAACCTTGTTATTGTCTTTTCTCTGAGACAAAGTATTGAGAAAGTTTTCCCCTAGATTGATTTCCCTTTTAGTTAGAAGGAGAGGAAGGCAGGTGTGCACGGATTCTATCCAACCAGGAACCAAGGAATGCAATTAAAAATCAGCTGTCCTGCCCTTGAAAAAGGCTGTAATTTGGCTATTTCTGCACGCTAGCAGTACTCTAGCAGGCAGTGCATTTTATAGGCCAAATAAAGGTGAGTACAAACATCCGTATACACTAATATGAGCACAGAAAATTGACTATATAATGTTATCTGTTTTGAAGGAAATGTGAAAAAAACTTAATGAATGGAGATTTTTTCCTGTCTTTGTTTTTCGTGTTTATTAAATTTTGGCTCTTAGAACCCCGAAGACATGACTATTTGCTGGCTACTCGAAGAGGATTTCAGAGCTTCTTACTTTCTCTGTGACATGCCTCCATCCAGCAAATATGGCTATGATTGGAATGATGATTTCCCTAGTCTCATAATTTCACCTTGTGTTTTGCCTTCATTCTTTCCAGGAAGCAGAATGTGCCTACACACTCTTCGTCATTGCCATATTTTGGCTCACAGAAGCTTTGCCCCTGTCAGTAACAGCTTTGCTGCCTGGTTTAATGTTTCCCATGTTTGGGATCATGCCTTCTAAGGAGGTAAGTTCTCCTGCAAATGTTGATCAAAATTAGATTCCCTATTTTGTGCTGAGATTTCCACTGGAAAAAAGTTGTTTTTAAAGGGAGCAATGATCCTGTTGATGAAGCTTCCACATAAGTTCCCCAATTTCCAGTTGTTTCTTGCCTCTCAGAATCTGCATGTGTGTCCACCTTTGGGGAACAAACACAGGTTGCACAGGCTGCAATTTCTTGAGTTATGAGTGTCATCTTCTTCCACTGACATCTATACCTGGTGCCTCTCTCACAATAAAAGGGACAACTCATTCACATTCTACATAAGCTTATTCTATGCAGCAGAATTTGGTCTCACTGTGTTGCAAAAACAATTTTTTTTAATGAAGAAAAAGCTTCCTTATTTTCTTTCCCAGAAATACCATTTCAACATATAAAACTAAATTAACTTTCATGTGTATTTCTATTTTGTTCTTGCTGAGAGGAGTTTATTCATGCTAAGAGGTGTTTCTTACTTTTATACAATCTAAGAGTACCCGTCTATAGAAAAATGGATTTAGTTTCCATTAAAAGCATGAAATGCATTGAAATCAGAAATGTCTATCTCCATGTAGTCTCCAACTACCAGGCAAACAACAGCTACCTAAACCACAGCTCAAACTTTCTCAGGAAAAATGTTGAGTTCAAGATGCCCAGTCAGTACAATTTACCACCTTTGGACTTCTGTCTTCTGCCTGGGCTTGAAAGCGTTATCTTGAGGCCCACCTGTATTTAATGTGCATGGAGATTTTTCTTTTTTACTAATCCTTGATTAAAGTTCTTCCTGTGAGAGGAGCTATTCCCTTCTTTATTTTCATGTCATTCTTCCCCACTTCGGAGCAGAAGTCCATCTTTTTGCATTTTAATCCTCTCTGCTCCTCTCTTCTTATTGCATTTCCCCCTACCTCTTAATCTTGCCTCTTCCTTCTAATCACCATCAATTTGGAAGAGCATGTGGCCAGGGCTATCCTTCAGTTCATTTTATCCTCAGGCTGATGTTCTCATACCCCATGGACTCTGAGATCTATTGTCTATGAAGTTTCTTCAATGCTCCAACCTGCTATATGGATTTCAATAAAGGGAATATAAAAAAATGACTAACAAGTTCTCAAAAATAGGATATCAAATAGTTAATCCCTATCCTACTAGCTTGGATGGTTCTGTCTCCAGAGATAGTTAAGTTAAACAGTTACACATTTGTCTCTTATGGTTTGATATCAATAAAACTGACTAAATTAACTTTTTAAAAGATGCTGAGGTAGAGTGAGGTGAATTGGAATCATGAGGCATTTCTGTAGCAAGCTGCTTTGTGAGGGGGCATGGAAGCACTCTAGGGAAACAGAAGGAAAAGGTAGGAAGGTCTGGCTTTGTGGGAGCTTCCAAAGATACCTATCTCTGCCTCTCCGTGGTATGTGGGGGCCTGACTAGAGTCAGTACAGTTGCAGGTGCCAATAGCGGTTGCATCACTCTGGCTGGAGATACCTGCCCAAAAGTCCTTTATTCCCGAAGGTGTTAGCCTCAGACTAATTTAACAGTCATTGAATCTCAGACTTGGGAAGAAAGTCCTTCTGGGCCAACTCTCACCCAGAACAGGGACCCCTCCGTAATATCTCTTATAGTTGAAATCATTCAGAAAATGCTTAAAGACTTTCTGGGTTGCGGGCCACTAATATGCCTCAAGGAAACCTGTACCATTTTTGAATAATTTTACCTCTTAAGCAACTCTTAAACAGATTTATTGAACCCAAGTCTAAAACTCAGTCACTTTGATATATTAAACATTTTTCTACCATCTGGGATTTCACAAATAAACCTCATCTTTTTTTTTTTTTTTTTTTTTTTTGCATGATAGTGTTACTTGGATTTGAAAATTAAGGTTAATATCATTTCCACCTTGAGTCTTTCTGGTTTCCAGACCTCACCTCCCATGCCCAAATCTACCAACTCCGGCTCCATCACCGTCACCATCTTCTTTTCTCTCCCTGGAACTAATTCTAGTTTGTCAGTGACTCATAAGGATTACTCTAGTTAATAAATGTAAATAAAGTCTTTTACACAGTAAGCACTCGTATGTAAGCTAATATTACTGTACTTGACAAAAGTGAATAGATTATCCTAGAAACATTCTGAGTGTTGCAAAGGTAAATGAGTCTATCATGTCCCCTCTAGTATTTCAGCCTAAGTTTGTTTTAAACTTTATGTGACTTTCTTCACCTAGTAAGCTGAGCTGGAACTTGCAGAAAATCAAAGCCCTTAGGACTTTTAGCAGAGATAACTGATTTTAGTCTTGTGATCATCTTTCCAGACAGGGCAACTTACCTTTTACTCATAAATAGCTGACCAAAGATACAAGGTATTATGGAAAGAGCTAGAGATTTAGTCAGAAGGCCTGAGATTGAAACCTGCTATTTACCCCTAACTGCTTGTTATGATTCTGGTCATGTCCCTTAGTAACTCTTTTTTATCATCTTTAACATAATAATGCCACACAAGCCATGGGTTGTTATAGCAACCAAACTAAATAATCTATGTTAAACAATGACACAAAGTATCAAACCTTCTTATGAGTTTTAATATTCACAATTGGTTTCTTTTGAGAGTTTTAAACTGTCATTCCAGCCTACTGCAGCATCTTTGAATCTCATTGAGTAGGATAATGTGTCATTAATGTTCTCATCTAAGTTCAGAGCCCTAAATATGTATCTTTGTTCATCATTGTTTTAACCTTACTTTACCTATTCATTAAGCCAGTGCTAAATACCTATTAATATATCTTGCTGAGCACATTACTGCACTTGAAGAATATCAACAAATTGAACTTTTCTCATATCTGCTGAATTAAACCTGAGTGTACTAAATTTGATATTCTAAAACAGTTATCGATGTTATTATAATTGAAAATATGTTTATATATAGAATTTACACATATGAATGTGAAAATATATATTTATGTGTAATATATGTTACAGTACATATTTACTCATTCAATAAATATTTACATGGTAGGACTCTGCCCAGAACTTGGGAACACATCAAGGAATAACAACAGATAAAAGTTTTCTTTAAAAAGTTTATCTTTATAGGGATAAAGAGGCAATAAACAATATATCTCATAAATAGATAAGTTATACGGTATAGTGAGTTAGAAAAGTAATTGGTGCCATGGAAAAAATTCAACAAGATAGTGGATATCAGTAAGGATGGAAGTTTTAAAAAGGATATTCAGGTTAGACCTCACTGGGTTGGTGACACCTGAACAAAGATTTATAGGAGATGAGAAAGTTTGCCATTTGAAAGCTGGGGAATGACCACTACAGAAGGGGACATACCCAGTGCAAAGACCTTAAGGCAGGTACGTGTCTGTAGTGCAACTGGAACAGAATGAGTGAAGAGGAAAATTATAGAAGATTATGTCAGGGAGGTAATGTGAGGAGGGAATGGACCAAGTAGGGCCAAAGTAGGTCACTATAAGATTTTAACTCTGAATGAAAAGGGACCCTCTGAAACATTTTGAATAGAAGAGTGACATTACCAACCTAACTTTGATCTTAAAAGGATTACTTGGGCTGTGCTGAGAAACAAGGTGGAAAGAAAGAAACAGGTACTAGGTTATTGCAATCCCCAGGAGAAACCATGATAATTCAGACCAGGGGTAGTAATAGGGACATTGAATATATTATTGATAAGCTTTGAAGGTAAAATCAACAAACTTTCCTGACTAATTGGATATGGCATGTGATTGGAAGCAGAGAGTCAAGGATGCCTCACAGCTTTTTGACCTGCCAAATGGAAAAATGGAGTTGTTATCAATTGAAATGGGAAACACTATGGGCAGAGTAGGCTTATTGTAGGAGAGGCACTGACACGGGGAGTTCAGTGCTGGACACATAAATTTAAAATACCTATTGGACATCTAGGTAAAGATGTTGAGTAGGCAGCTGAATACAAATGATTCCAGAGTTCATGAGAGAGAGAGCTGATTGGAGATATAGACCTGAGAGTCATCAGCATATAGATGGTATTTAAAGTCCTAAGATTTGATGAGATCCCTTAGGGAATGAGTAAAGATAGAAAAGCAAAGAGGAAAAAGAGCTGAGGTCTGCATAATTGCGACATTAAGAGATCAGTGAGAAGAGAATGTATTAGCCAAAGAGACTGAGAAGAAAAGGTTATTGAAATAGGAAGAAAACCAGGAGGGTGTGGGGTCCTGGAATCCAACTGAAGCAGTGTTTTCAGGATGGGGCAGTGATTGTATGTGTCAAATCTGCTGATAAGCAACTTAATATGAAAACTGGATATTGACCATGGGACTTAGAAAAACCACATTATACCTAACAAAGTACTTTTAAAAAAATATTATCTCATTCACTTTGTAAATGATGTGAGGTGCTATTTAACTTTTGCAACTTTTTATTGATTTGTAGAAAGGTTGCTCAACTGGTATATTACATAGCTAAGAGAAAATCTAGGTGCTCTGACTGCAAAAGTCCATGTTTTTTGATGAAATCCAATTTTGAAATAGAACTATAACCTGATTTTGCAAATAGATTTCAAATTTTATTAGAAATTTTATTTGACATGTCAATTTTGCCTTGAAAATAGTTATATTTGTCAGTGTCGTTTACGATAGCACCTTCTTCTATTACCTCCTAGACAAGCAGGCTATAAACAAACATAATTTTCTATAACTAATGTTTTCCCACAAATATTCTGACTCTGGGGAAAACCAAAGAATAAGTAATACAATGAAAATAGAGAATGTGAAAATTCCTCCTTAGGTTTAACAACTAATTTCATTTAGACTGAAGGCCATAGTTTGTTTGCATGGTCTCTTGAGGAATAGGCAAACTATGGGCCTGTGGACCAAATCTAGCCTGCTGCCTAATTTTTAAAATAAATGTTTATTGGAACAAAGCCACAGCCATTCATTTACATATTGTTTTTGACTCTTTTGTGCCACAATGACAGAGTTGAATAATTGCCATAGAGACCATATGGCTCACAAAGTCTAGAATATTTACTGTCTGGACCCTGCAAAGTACTCACTTCTCATATAACCTGAATAGATTCCAACAAGAATCACTCATGGTTCTGGACTTCTTCCTCTGTTTAATCACTTGCTAATAATGGCTTGCTTCTATATGTTTCTTTGTATTTTTTAAAGCGATTCTTCATTTATTCTCTCATTTAATTTTCAGAGTGTTCATAAAATAGTGTCAGTATCTTACTCCATTCAGACTGATACGATGAAACACCTTAAACTGCGTAAATTATAAATAACAGAAATTTATTGCTCACAGTTCTGGAGGCTGGGAAGTCCAAGATCAAGGTGCTGATTTGGTGTCTGGGAAGGGCTTGCTCTTTGCACCATAGGTGGCACCTTTTTGCTGTCTCATCACATGGTGGAAGGAGCAAGGGAGCTCCCTCAAACTTATTTTATAAGGACACTAATCCCATTCATGAGGTTGAAGCCAGCATATTAGGTTCATATTAGGTGCCAACATATGAATTTTGGGGGACACCAATATTCACACCATTGCAGTCAATGGGGGATATTTCCATGAGAAAAATTGCAAAAGAAATAAGGGCAAAGAAAACTCAAATATCATTCATCTTTCTGTAACAAACTTCAGTATCAGGTCTTGTAAGAAGACTTTCCTAATCCCTCTAGGAAAAAAATGGTCACTTACTCCATTTATTCTTTGAGTATCAACTATGCCTTGAGGAAGTATTGCTCATGCACATATGATACTCCTTGTTAACTTGTTTATTCTCATCTAACAACTTGTAAATTCATTGAGTGTAGGGACTTATTAAGTCAACATCTATTGAGTGCTAGTATGTGCTAGGCATGTGCTAAGTCTGTAAATATGATGATCAATAAGACACAGCTGCCTTCAAAATACATCTAGTGTAACAAAGAAGACAGTTAAGGGAAGAAATTTTCATTATATATTATGGATTAAATGTGCTATAGAAGAGGGAAATATCATCCAACCCAGTTTAGGGTCTTAGAGAAGGGATCTTGGTAGAATTGATACCTGATTTAATCCAGGAAGGAAGATTAGGAGTAACCAAGGCAAGAGGAGAGGGTCATTCTAGGTTAAATTACAAGCATGTGTTAAAGCATTTCTGTGTTTGGGGAACTACATGCCTAGGAAAAAGCAAGATGGAGCAGTAAAAGACCAAACTGGAGAGGTGAAACAAGACCAGATAATGAAGAGTCTTGTATAACATGTTGAGAATATTGGATTTGTTCTTAAAAATCATGGGGTTCACTAAAGGAATATGAAGGCCAATGATGTGATCAGATTTACACTTTAGAAAAGTGACTCTGACAGTGGTAGGGGGTGAATTAGAAAAAGACAGATCACACAGTAGCCAGGTGAGGAATGGTGAAGCCCTTAATTAGGGTAGTAATGTGTGAATAGAGAAAATTGGAAAAATTTTAAAGATAAGAAAGACCGATCTATGAAAATTAAGACTTAATGACTAATATACATGTATTGGAAGTGGAAAAGGAATCATGGCTGACCCTTTGGGTTCTGGCTTGGACAACTGAGTATATGAAAGTTTCATCCACCACAAAGCAGGGTACAACAGGAAGGACATGTTTGAAGGATGGAGAGTGAGAAGATGAGAAGTGTCCTTTTGGATCTGTTGAGCTTTAAGATGTTTATGGGAAATTCAAATGGAAATGTCCAGTTGGATATACCAGTCTGAAACACAGAAGACATATTTGTCAGGATATACAGATCTTGGTGTATTCAGCATTCCTTTAACAAATATGTATTGAGTACCTACTGTGTAGATGCCAGACATTATTTTAGTCCCATAGAGTTAGAAGTTGAATTCTTTAGATTCAGCCATCAGATGTATAAAACAAGAACACTATATACAGTACTCTGTAGAATGCCAGATTTTAAGAAAAGGGCTAAAAAAACCTAATTTTTGAAGTAGGCCAAAAAGAAAAATTCAATTCAGGGATAGAACCAGGGAGAAAAAAAATAATGGTTTAAAAGTCTGGAAACACTAGCGAATGGATAAATACTTATACCTAGAATAAGAGTTGAAAGAGTTAGAAGAATAGGAGGTAGGGGACAGAGGGTAGATAATTGGGATTTAGGAACACAGAGACCATAGCTTATTTATTACATCCCTCACTCCCTTTCTCATTCATTCAATACTATTTACTGAACTCTCCTACTCTGTGCTAGGACTGTGCTACATGCCAAATACGCGATGGTTAACAAAACAGAGTTCTGGTCCTCATGGAATGTGTGGTATAATAGGGAAAACAGTTTGCAAGCAGGGAAGCAAACAGAACCTATGTAATACAATATGCTGTTAAAAAAAAAAAACAGGGTTCTGTGATAGAGAAAAATAGTAGAATCTATTTAGAAAGGCCTGATATTTAAGAATTGAAAAAACTCCAAAAGGAAAAAATATATAAGGCATTTTTCATGTATTTTCTGCCCCTATAACATTTTTGTTACATGGCCAATGTTTTTTCAATGTTAGAACAATTAATAAATGAAATAAGGAAATTGATATAACTATTTATTTTCTATTACCCAATCACCACAAAATGTAAAGAGATAAATAAACAAGGGTAATCATTAATTTTTTGCTTTGTATTGAAGCCAAGCCAAGCTTAGTAAGCTATGCTTAAAATGAAAATACAATTTAAAATAGCAAAAAAACATATATAATTTATTTTCCTTTTCTTTTGTGGTTTCATAACACTAGGATAGTTTTGTTCTTACCCTTCCATTTTTTCTGTAATATTAGACATTATTTGATTTTTAAAGGGATATTTCCTCCTGTGATCTTTTCCTCTCAGCACAGCTCTGTGATTAGGTTTAGTCAAGTAGTTTCTAAGGTAAGTTCTCTTGAAAAGCAGTCCCATGAAGTGCTCCACTTAAAAATTAGATAAAAATAAGCTTTTTGTGATAAAATAAGTTTGAAAAATATGTAGTATATCCCACTCCTTGAGAATGACAATATACACTATAATATAGGTTTTGTAAAAGGCTATTGTAAAGGTTTTGTGAAGGGCTACAGGAAAAAAAATTCTAGTATTTTGAAATTCTATGTTTTCCAAACTTAATTGACCTCATAATCCTTTTTTTGAAAAGCATTGTGTACCTAACATTTCAAAGCATTCTTTGGGAAATCATGCTGCAAATGGTTGCTTATGGTGTCTGGACACTTTACTAATCTCTGAATGGTGTTAACTGAAAATGGCTTTAAAACATTGGCCCTCATTTAGGAGTATTTGTTTTATAATAAATAATTTTTAAAGTAAAACCATTCAAAAAAATGAAGGAGTCACTGTGCAGTTGTGGCATAATGAGACGTGAAGATTTCAGCAGGTCGGATCTTGATTTTGATTTAGTACTTTCCCAAATCACAGTCATTACCATTCTACCATAGGAACATAGACAAATGAACCCCATTGATAGCTAGAAAAATAAGGACATAGAAGCCACTTGCCTGATGTTACACAGCTATTTAAGAACCCAGTACCCTAGGTGCTCTCTTTTCTGTATATTTTTACTTAACACTATTTCTGGTAAGAATACAGGACACGTTTAAATTTGTATTCAAACACATCTACATTTTTCTCAACAAAATAGAAAGATTATGTAGTTGAAGGTCAAAGTTAAGAGCAGCATAATAATCTTTCTTGTGCAATGTTCTTTCAGCCCCACCGCCAATGTAAATAACTGTGGGTTTAATTGAAATTACAGGTGGCATCTTCTTATTTCAAAGATTTTCACCTACTGCTAATTGGAGTCATCTGTTTAGCAACATCAATAGAAAAATGGAATTTGCACAAAAGGATTGCTCTGAGAATGGTGATGATGGTGGGTGTGAATCCTGCATGGTGAGTACTGCATTCACTCGCTTCCAATTTTGCATTCTGAATAGACCATATTTTGTGCAGAGCAAATAGCCAAATAAGTAATGCACATCCAGGGAATTGTTTGTATCACAGTATAATTAATGACTTTTTTTTTTCTTCTCCAAATACGAAAGTGATATAAAGCGTGCTTGAGCTGTAGAAGGGAAAAAAACCACATTCCTTTCACTGCAGGTCTACTTACAGGGAGATTGGAATAAGTGCACACAGCCCTCTCATCTTTCATGTACCATGGAAGTCAAAGCTGAGAGAACCCTTGAACCTCAACAGACAAGATTGATAGACTTCAGAGTAGATTTCAGTCCTATCTTGTTTATTTGGCTGATTACACATTCAGAACTTGTTCAAGAGCATCGTTTATCATGAGGGAGGATGTTAAGAATCAAAGCAAAGACATTACTGACAAAATACAAATGTGTGGAGAAAGAGTCCAAGATGAACATTATTTAAAAATCAACTATTGCAAAGCGAAACAATCAATTAAGACTTTTATCTATAGAACGTGAAATCACTCACTTGACTTATTTTTTTCCAATGAAATGAATGCCTTTTTCCATGAAATTAATTGGCTGTTTTGGTTTTTTTCCACCTCTTGTTAAGAACATGAATGTAAGCTAAAGAAAATTTCCAGGGTCATAATTGTTTGCATGATGACATTTTGCTTTACAGCCTTAGGTGGATCTTCCCTTCTCATCTTTCTTTGAAAATAAGAATATTGTATTGATTTATGCTGCATAATTCATTCTAGGACAAAGCCACGTCTGTGCTTATCATTTATGGTGCAAATTTGTTTTGCTAAGTACAAAAAAATCAATTGCTCAGATGAGACAAATTTTTTAAAAAAATCTTTGACTTAAAAATGTTGTAGCATATTTGCATTTAAGGCATCTCACTCAGGAAATGAGATGGTGCTCCATGCCTCTCGGGGTGCTACAGAAATACATCTCTTTTCCTTGACCATCTGCTCGCTGACTGTGCACTGCACAGTTGGGCAAGAGTCCTATACATTGTGCCCCTTAGTGACTTTTCAATTTAAGGCATTTTCACTATACAAAAGCTTTATCTGATCCCAACCTTTTTTATAGGAAGATTTCATGTCTTGACAATGCCTTAAGTTAAAAGCGTTTCTAGTTTTCTTTTTATTACGAATCATTTCTTGTTTAAGATTTCTAAATAGTTTTCTATTATTTTGTTTTATACATAGAAAATATTCACCTTATCTGAGTTTGAAATTATAGAGTGAAATTATTCTTGTAGATATGTTTTAAAAGGGAGTCAGAGAATTTCACAAATGGTTGTATATGAGAAAATGTGCTTCTGAATGATGTTTTAGGGCCTCCTACTCAAAAGAGATCGTGCTTTTTCCTAAGTGATTCTGAAAGTTTATAGACATAGTTTAAAATCTTGTGGTCGTAGGTATTAAATATGATATTTAAGGGAAAAGAACTACTCTATTTATAAGAGAAGACAATGTAATACATCCAGTTCTTGACAAAAGGAAGCTATGATATCAGATTCAGGAGACTATAAATAATAGAATATACAGAAAATTCTGAAACCTCTTTTTAGCAAGCTATCTTAACTATTTTCTCCACCCACCATACATTGAACCAGAATAATGAGAAAGTAGAAAGAAGCTTTGTAAATATTAATCTCTCTTTGTCCTTGTGCCTTTTTGGCACACATATGAACAAACAGAGATATGGCTAGAACATAAGAGAAAAAATAAGGGACCCTGAATTCAAAAGTTGATCGTATTTTCATCTTACTAGCATTTGAAGGTAAGTAATCACCTATAAAGAGCATTCGAATATTGGCATACTCTTACAACCTGTGATGTCATATGCCAACTTACAATTTGATTATATTTCTGTTTGGGGAGAGAAGCTTCTTATGGTTTCCTGGGAGACAAATCTATTAAGAACTTCTCTCTTAACATGTGTCACTTTGATTTCTACCTGGCTACAAACTGTACTTGGAGTTCACTACCTGGGCAGAACCTTAACTTTCTATGTTTTGAAAAACTTAAATTCCCAACTCCCAAACTGTATCCTTTACAGTTAAATAATACAGAGCTAATTTAGCTAGAGAGCACAGCTCCACACTAAAGGTTTTCTCATTTCAGGCTGACCTTGGGGTTCATGAGCAGTACTGCCTTCTTGTCTATGTGGCTTAGCAACACCTCTACTGCTGCCATGGTGATGCCCATCGTGGAGGCTGTGGTGCAGCAGATCATCAGTGCTGAAGCAGAGGTCGAGGCCACTCAGATGACTTATTTCACTGGATCTACCAACCACACACTGGAAATTGATGGTATCATGTGTTGACATGGCCACAGTGGAGTCTAGTCATTTGGGCAAAAGGCATAAACTCAAGAATTCTGGCTTGTTTTTAATTAACTGTCCATATATGCGGGATGTGAATTTAATCTTCTTTCTATAGTTCCCAATATCTTTACAAAGGAATTATAAAAATATTTTACCTTAAATTGTTGGATTTATGTTCTCTGGCAAAAAGAGGAAGAATGCCTTTTCCATCCTCTAGCCAGTCTGATAAAACACTCTCTCATGTCTTTATCAGTAGACTTCCAAGTTACTCTTTCCTGTCCTGAAAATACTTTCCTGCATAATATTGGACATCTTTAATTTTCACATTTTATTTGGATACAGCATATTTCCCTGTGGTTATTTCTGGGTCTGATGAACTGCTCTCATGCAGTGAAAAAATGTTGGAGGGATATTTGTATTTATGAAATACTTTGTTAAGATAAATGTGATGTCAGTGCAAGATGAATTTTTTATTTTCAGTTTCTAGTAATGTTTCCATTTTCGCATACACATACATACTCATACAAACCCAATGATAATCCCTTTTTAAAAACTATTTTTCTGTTATTTAATGTTTTGCAGACAGTGTTAATGAACATGAAGCAAATGAGAGGAAAGAGAAAACAAAACAAGTTCCAGGGTAAAGAATATTGACATTTTGATTAGGATTTTTCCAAATTACATTTTAATAAAACTACAAACTGGGTCAATTTATTTTTCAGATACAGTAACGGTACAGGGAAAAATTCAAGCAAGACGGAGTTGGAAAAGGTACATTAAATTTGATTCTTTCTAAATAATTATACATGGAAATTCTATTAGAGCTGTAGTTAGATATGCATGCATTTTAAAACCTGGTACTTGCTTCCTTCTCTATAAATTATTTTGCTTGACTAAGTCGAAGCATCGTGTAATGATTTAATAAGCCTTCATGGATAGATTGAAATTGACATCTGACTAGGAAAAATTTTAGGCTCTGAGAATTAGCATCATTATTTTCTCCTTTTACTAGAATTATGATGATGGCAGTTAGCCAATGTAGTTTAAAGAAATACAACTCTAGTCTCAGGATATTGTTACATTTTCTTATTAAAATCTTGTTGGCCTAATAGCCTGATTTTCGTTAGGAATATCCTATTTCTTCCAGGTTATGAACTTAGAGCAACTCCTATTCATATAATTATAAGTCTAGTTATCTTTAGTGTTTCCATTGCCACTAAAAAAGTTTAATGCATAATTCATGAGTTGCTTCTGTCACATAAAGGTGGAGGAGTTTTTGTAGCCATTCTAGATTTTAAAGTAAGGAACGAGACCTTTATAAACTATCCCATAGAATCATTTCCCCAGAATAAATCAATACAAAAATACTATACTAGGTTGCACTGGAAGCAATATATCTCAAGATCTGAAAAATAATCATGCATAGAAATAGTCCTACCATCACCATGGCATTAGGAACAGGACAGTGAGGCATATGTTTCCTTATCTGGCTATAATGCATTAACAAGCAGCTCAATGGGAAAAAGAAAATCCTCTGTTCATTACAGAAATCTTCAAGGAAAGAGCAATTTCTCTATAAAGAGAAAATTAATATAAAGATAATTTTTAAGCCATTAGTTATAGTATACATTAAGGATTTTTGAAGGGGGGAATTGCATATGTATTTATGAAAACATTATTATCTTTACAAATGGAAGTAATTCTTTTAAAACACAAAAAATCAACAGTGTGCCAGGTATAGAATAATATAATACATTGGAAATGGGCTTTAAAAACTGGCATGCCTAAACAGAAAGAGTATACATACACTCAGTAACTTTCCTGGGGTGTTCTTTAGAAACCTAGGTTTCTGGCATAATGCCTAAATATTGAGTCAAGACCCTTCAAATTGATTTGGTATTCAGTACTGTCCTAGGCATTGTAGATAGATCTATAGATGAAAAGATCTGCTCCTTACTGTGAGCAGCTCAGAATCTAATGGAAATGATGGACTTTAAAGAAAACAAGTCTGACATAAATTCCACAACAAAGGCATGCACAAAGGCCAAGCCTTCCAGAAGTAGAAACAATTCGTTCGATCTGGGCATATTGCAAGGAGGGAGTTTGAGGTAAAAGCATGAGTCTGGGAAGATGATAGCATGTGAAAGAAGAGCAGTACAAACTCCATGAGTGCAGGGACATGTATACTTTTGTCACCATTTTAGACTCTAGCACATTTCAATTGCCTGACACAGAGTAGATATTCAAGAGATATTTACCTTTATCAATTAATGAACAAGTAAATGCAAAGAGTGAAAAACGGAAGAGGCACTCTAATCAGAGAGTACAACTAATTCAACGACCCTATTATGTACAGAGCAGGTTGTTTTCAGGAAACCTCTCCAATGCAAGTGTTAGAGATAAGCTTTTGTGGTGAGCGAAATGGTTGGATAGGTTCCACCAGGTTAGGAATAGCTCTTCGTGCAATGCAAAGGAGTTTGGAGTTAATCTTATGGGAATCCTTGGAGATGGGGGTTGGGGGGACAGCACGGTAAGTTCTACTTTTGGAAAGCTTGCTCTGATAACAGTGTGAGGGGCAATGGGTTATGGACTTAACTGAGCCTTTTGATTAATTAGACATTGGGGATTAGAGAGATAAAAG